TTCCCAGTACTCTATAGTGTCCCTTGTTCTGTGCTCCCAAAGCGGCCTGTGCTCAGTTTTCACCGCATTTATCATCCTACGTTGTGAGGCTGCTTTTGCTCCATGACTGTGGAGTCCTTGAGGACTGAAACTTTGTCTGATTCATCTCAGTATCTCCAGCACCTAGCACAGGGCCTGGGACATGGTAGTTGCTTCAAAATCTCTTGGGAGAAATGAACACTACGCAGCACAACACCGTGGATGTAGTAGTTGCAAAGTAACGATGAACTGAATCTAGTCTTCAACCAAATCTCACTCATTTCCTTACGATCCTACTGGGCGACTAAGGTCCTTTGCCCCACCTGAAGCTGTCACTTCCACTTGTGCTCTGGGCCATCACATCCTCCCTCCCCAGATGCCTCCCTCCGTCAATGATCTCCTCTCTCCAGAGTCTCTTCGGTCTCCCTCTGCTCAGTACTGAGAGTTTATTGCATGCTGCCTTCCGTAGGTTGACCCTTTATCCATATGATCTCATTTCACTCTTCATCACGGCTATTTCTTCAGGTAGATGGCATTCATTAGCTCCACTTTTCCTATGAAGCAACAGGGACTCAAGGAAGGAAAGCAGCTTCTTGAAATTCCCCAGCCTACTCAGGGGCCGAGATGGAATTCAGGCGGAGGTCATTCCAAGCCCGTGCTTTTTCTATGGCACAGTATATTGCCTCCGTCAAGGCATCAGAGAGGGGCCAGAAAGCAAGTGGATACTGAGTAGCCGAACTGCAGGAGTGGCCACCCTCAAAGGGTAGACTGTGGAGAAAGATGGAGTTAATAGGCAAAAGCCTTCACTATCTTCCCAGATTTACACAACACTGGCCCTTGTGATCTTCGGGTGTGCAGAAGATAAATTTGCCACACTTACTTACCCAGACAGAAAGTTAAGAAACAGAAAACCACTATTAATCTTACGCTGCACACCAAAATGGTTCAAACAGGATTGATCTTGATTGTAAAAGATGCCTGATTTTTTTTTTTTCCCCTTTCCGGGAAGGAAGCTTGGATTCCACTAATCAAGCTAAGACATTTATACTGCTTTTGTGGCCTGGCATGAAAGAGACGGAAAGACAAGCTCAAATCAAGAAAGTGTGCAGTCATATTTTGCAAGCTCAATTTAGGGAAGAGTAAGAGCCCCATGGGAAAGGTTTTCATTGACTTCCCCTTCAAGATCGGTTCAGTGAGTTCCTGGTACAGAAAGCCCACTACGCCAAACACGTGGCGGTGATGGGCAAAATATAAAAAGATACACTCAAAAGGGTATGGTCAAGACAAAAGCAAACAAACAGGCAAACACACAAAGAAAATAAATACGTAAATACATTGATACATTAATTAATTAATTAATTAATTTAAACCCTACCAGCTATTTGTCCCCATACTGAGCGGCGGCCTTGCTGGTCTGGAAGCAAAGCAAGGTATCCAGAAGTTAAGTTCCGGCAAGGCATAGTGGCCCCCAAATACTCAGAGAAACAGAGAGGACAAAAAACTAGGTACAGGGCTTAAAGCCAAGGACTACAAAGGAGCTGCCCATAGACTCACCAATCCCTGGCTGTAAGTCTGACAAAAAAAAAAAAGTACCACCGAACTCTGCCAGGGTCTTTCCTTGGCCCTGATGAGGCACACGGGCTTACAGGGGCGAGGCCACAACTAGGAGCTAAGCCAATGAGCTAGGAGCTAGCTCTGTGAGTGAAAGTCCGATAAGCCCAAGGAGTACCCTGAGATCAGTGGCACGGACACGTCCCGTAGAATGGTTTTGAGTCAGAACGTGTGTGTTTCTAAAAAAAGTTCCCATGTGATGCTGGTGCTGCTCGTGTCGGGACTCTACTGTGAGAACCACCACAACACACCATAGTTCATACATCTCCTTTTTCTTTTTCAGACCACAGAATCTGTGATGCACGAATGCTTAGAGATAAAGGGGAAACAGTGATGAAAAGTCAAGAACAATTCATAGCTAGCAGCAAGATGGTAAGGCGAGGCCCAGGGATTTAGCTCAGTGGTTCCGCTGCCTGCCTCGCAGGCAGAAGGTCCTGAGTTCAATCCCCGGTACCCCCACCCCGCCAGAAAAAGAGAAGATGGTAAGGTGACTGACCAACAGTCCTGGTGGGTGTGAGACTCCCCTAGTTTTCAAGTGCAGTTCTGCAGTCCTGGAAACCCCTCAGTCCTGGGCAGCCGGGAAGGCTGGTCCTTCTAGAAGAAGGTGAGCACGCTTCAGTGCCACTCAGCTGCCAAACACAAAAGGACATACAGAGAATGTGATTTCTAAAACGAGTTTGTTTGAAGAGTACTCATTCATTTATTCTTCTTCCAACCATTCTGTGTTATGAAACTACTACTTATTCGTAAGGCACTATGTTAGGAGCAAAAGGTAAAAGTCACTCCACATTGGGCTTGGTAGGCATAGATCCAGGCTTTGTATACTCAGGGACACCCGGAAGCGATGTGAAAAAAAGGCATTTCATACAGAAAGTTTTCAGTGCACCATACGTAATGAAAAGCCAAATCATTCCCTTAACTCTTTCTTCTTCTGAATGGAGCTCATCATTGAGAAGGATGGGTGGAAAAGCTAGGGGGGGAAACAGTGAAAGAATTAACGAGTCATTTCATTAGCAAGGGAGGGGGATCCTTCTTTAAAGGAGAAAATTGATCTTTTTGGTCCTCATCTTTACCACGAATACATACTTTATTGTCACAGATCGACGGCTGATCCCAGTTATAGTGTGATCTTCAAGGCTAATTTATATAAAACTTCCCCAAAAGGTACACATCCTAAGAAAGACTAATGGTGACGTATTTTAGGAGTGCATCATAGCAATGAGAAAAAAAGTGCATAGTAAAACGTTATTACTTCTGTTCTGATTGCTAATGGGGATAATCCAAAACTCCAACTTTATCATCAACCCTTTGACCAAAGAGGAAAGCACGCTTCGTGAGAGACACCTAAAGATTCCTACATAGTCCAAATAAAACACAGGAATCTTTTTGGAACACATTTTGGAGCATTGGGTGTATCGATAAAATAAATGCACAAACTACCAAATGTGGCCCAGGAACTCCCTGAGAACATCAGATTAGGCTCTGTTCTCTTTCAAAATACTACCTTTTCTTCCCTCTGTGAATCCTAGCTTCAGTAGTAATGTTTTCTTTCTGTTGTGTGCATCCTAGCCTAGAATCTCTTTCATCATCATTCTGCAGTGGTCAGTGTGGTGACTGTGCAGCTTCACTTTCAATAAAAGCCAGAGTAACAGAAGCCTCATACCTCCCCTACCTCTCTCTTTTCCACCATTCATAAACAAAGCCATTCGGAAAGTCAGGTACTAAATTTGACCCATTCAAATCTTGGCAATTCACGTGCCTAGTATAGTATTTTAAGAGAAGACAAAAAATGATCAGCAGAAATGAAAGAAAACAGATGAAATCCTGACATCAAGTTGTCAAAATACAAGTTAGGATAGGAATCTCTATTTGCCTAGAGGCACACCGTCTACTGTGATGGGTACTATGAACATCTTACAGAGTAACCCTTTACATTGCCTCTTAGCAGTATGCATGTGTATTTGTTTGTCACTGTGTGTGTGTGTGTGTGTGTGTGTGTGTGTGTGTGTGTGAGAGAGAGAGAGAGAGAGAGAGAGAGAGATTATCACATATAGGGTTCCAAAACCTCTCTAGTTATTCTGCACATCATTCCTAAACTGAAAGCTTTTTACCAAGTGTTGTAGCTTAGATTTTTAGTCTCATGAGATACTATTGAAATGTAGATAATCTTTCTTAGAACATAAAGTACTGTATTTAAATTAAGTTCTCATATTTTCACTGTCCTTCTTCTACTATGCAATTTCTACAATGTGTGGAATTTTACTAGACCACAATGCAAAATGTATGGTTCCAACTAAATCCTTTAACTCATGATTATATGTAAAGGACTGTTGCATCTAACAGATCCACTGGTCCATTGGTTCTCAAAGCATGTTCGGTTGATACCTGGATAGGATCTCTGCTTCTCTTTTATTATGTATGTAGTATCCAACTATTTTCATATCAACACTAGAATAATATTTACTTTTTTTACTTCCATTCTCTCTTGAGCATACAGAAGACTTAAGGCATATGATGCTACCTTTCTGACAGCCAAGGGAAGTATTTTAGCATGTTCTTGAATTTTGTACATTTCTCTCTTAATATCTAATATAATTAGTATCAGTAGATGTAACCCACGCTGAAGAAGTCTTTGGGTTATCAATAGATATTTAGCGTATGAAGGTATATCTGCATAGCAAAGCAAAGCAAAGAGTAAAGTGACCATCTACAGAATGGGAGTAAATATTTCCATAGTAATTTGACATGGAGTTGATATGCAGAATATTAAAAGAACTCCAAAAACTCAATAGTGCACATGCAACCTGATTGATAAATGGGTCGTAGACCTAGATCAACGTTTCTCTAAAGAAGATATACAAACTGCCAAGATGTATATGTTAAAGACACTCAATTTCACCAATCATCAAGTATATGCAAATGAAAACACAATGAGCGAGCACCTTATCATAATTAGGACAGCTGTTATTAAAAAGTAAAAAATATCAAATGTTGGTCAGGATATGGAGACAAATGAACTCTTATGCAGTGTAATTTCGTACTCATGATTGATTGCTTCTGGAAGGCATGTACCCCCCAAAACAAGTACCAAACAAAGTGTTTTGGCTGCAAAGCGTAGTGAATCACAAGGCATCTGATATTGACAAGTTCTAGCTTGTGCTTTGAGTACCGAACAAATGAGTACTGAGACAAAACTTTCATGGCAAAATGCACCAAATGCCAAATTTCACGTTTCTAAGCAGTCAAGTACCAATGTATTACTGTACATGGTTGGTGGGAAGTTAATTAATACGGCAATTCTTTCGAACAGCATGGAGAATATCCAACAAACTAAAAATAGATCTACCATGTCACTCAGCTGCCCCACTTCTATGTATATATCCAAAGAAAATATCAGCAAACCAAAAGGATATCTGCATGCTCGTTTATTGCTGCATATTCACAATAGCAAATGGAAACAATCTAAGGGTCCGTCAACTGATGAATGGATAAAGAAAATGTGACACATACACACAATGGAATATTATTCAGGTATAAAAAAGAAAAGTGATATGCTGTCATTTGCAGAACAATAATAGAAGTGGAGGACATTATGTTAAGGGGAATAAGTAAAAAAGAAAGACAAGTAACATGTTTTCCCTAATATGTGGATGTTAAGACCAAACATTTTGCAAATTGTTGCTTTGTTAATATTTTGTCATTTCTGGAGTGCATGTCATCGTAACTGATCTAGTCAGAAGAAAATTTCACCTAGAGCATTATTGATTTCCTTTTAATATGGAGATTATATTTTTGAGATACAGAAACAAAAATTTATTAAAAGGTTTAGAATACAAGTGGGATCATGTTATATCTTTGGGAAGAGTGCTACCCTACTACAGATGGCTGACATGAGATAACTCAGAAGCCTCATTCCTTTAACATGTTTCCCATACTAAAGTATAAAAATGTCTCTGTTTTGTGGAAAGGGTAAGGAAACAATGTGAAGCAGATTTTGACATACTACCCTGTTGATGTGAAATTTTGGTAGATGAGGTACCAAGTGTATTCATAATTCCACTACACTCAATTTTAAGCCTGAAGTCCCAAAAGACGAGCAGTGTTTAATACATCATCTCTCGTTAAATAACAGCCACAGAGTTGACGGTAGCCAGTGAAGGATTCCCTGCCATGTAGGATTCTCCAGTTGTCTATGAATAGGACCTGTGAATGAGTAAAAATAGAAAATATCATCAAATGAGGGCAGACCAAAGGAATCCTAAATTAGCAAAGATGATTTGTAAAGAAAAGCCTTAGGCTGTTCTTCGTTTACATTTAATGAGATTTTTCTTTTAAAATGAAACAGACTTTTAGAAACTCAGATCTATATAATCATGTAGCACGCTAAATGAAAATTACAAAGCAAAATAAGTAATAGGCCTTGCACTTAAGGAGCTTATGTTTCTTCAGTATTTTTTTTTTCTTCTCAAAGCAAGTTAGGTAAATTAGTTTTTCTTTTTCTTTAATTCTTACTTTCTGGCAATTCTTTTACTTTCTGAAAGAGCTATACTCTTTTTTTTAGGGCTATACTCTTTTACTATGTTTTATGCTAAGCTGAAAATATTATTCACTACAGGAAGATATACTTCATGAGAGAACATATCAAAATTCAAAAACTGGAATCATGAATCTGGTAGGACTCTTAAGGATTAAATTCCCTCATCATTCAGAGTCACTGATGCCTAGAAGTGGAGTGGGGCCTGCTTCCAGGTCCTTGTGGATGGCAAGACTGGGGCCAACGCCTAGGGCTGTTTTCTCTTTTTCCTTTGAAACACTGTGAGACATACTGAACAAGCACCCTTATTCACTGTTTCAGTATAGCAAGGTTACTTGACAGCTTTAGGATTGAGGACTCACTCTTCCAGGCTTTAGTTTGACCCACAGCTCATTCTCAGGTCTCCTCAGCTCAACTGTTAGAGTCCGATGTGCTGTATACCAACGATGGACAACATCGTAAGGTGCAGTATTGATAACAGCCCGGTCATAGTTGTTGTACCTAACATGGAATCATGAGAAAGAAAGATCTGAAACACATCATCAAACAGCTGTTGTTTACCGAGCTGTTTTCTATTAGGCTCTCTTTGTGTATAATATTCCACAGACGAGGTGACAATAAATTAACATTCTCTTAGGGATACAATATCAAAGGGAGGAACTCCACTGCTTGCTGATCATGTTTTGTTGTTTGGAGAATCTGAGGGTAAGGGATGGATATTAAGTTCCAGCTGGTTTTTTCTCATCTTAGTATACAATGCTTTCTCTAAAGCACATCCCATGGAGTAAGCCCTTTTTAATCAAAGTTCATGGAAACACTGGGGAAAGATTTGAGCTGAGCTTGCACCTCATGGAGTTAATATGGGCAAGACAGGCTCAGTAGAATGACTTATAACTTCTTAAATGCCTCCCTTTGTGGGAGAAATTTCAGTTATAAAATAGTGGATAGTTCAGCCAGGAATCCTAATTCATTCAATACTGACATTTATAAAGGAGCACATGTTATGTGCTAGGCAGTGTGTCAGGCATTAAACATACAAAGATGAACACAGCAGATATGAACTCAGCCTTTGGGAACTTTATATTCTGTTGAGGAAGAGCAATGATAAACTAGTAATAAATACACAAACAAGACAGTTTCAGCCAGCTACATATGCTAGGAAGAAAAAATAGTGTTACACGATTAAGAGTGACTAGGAAATCTGTTTCAGTTAGAGTGCTGAGTGAGGGCCTTTTGAAGAAGTCATGCTGAAAACAGTACCTGTATGATAAGAAACCAGCAATGTGACAAGCTGAAGAAAGTGTTCCAGGCGGAGAACAGTGAGTACAAAGTCTTGGGGTGAAGGAGTATTTTATCGTGTTTGTAGAACAGCAAGAAGGTTGTACGGTTGGTGCTAAACAAGGGGGATAATGGTGGAAGAAATGATGTAGAAGAAATAACCAGGGACCAGATCATATGTAGTCATGCAAGTTATGGTAAGAACTTTGGATTTTCTTTTTCTGAGAACTGTGGAAAGCCACTGAAAAACTGTGGCTAAGATAATGGATTTCACTTTTGTTATGACAAATTAACTTTTAAGTATAGTACTGTGTATATACACATAGAAAAGCACACAAATAAGGCTTGATGAATTTTCATGATGGGATCACATACTTATCACCAGCATCCAGATAAATAGATCATTGTCAGAACCCCAGAACCTTCCCTTGCGCCCTTTCTAGTTATACTCCTTCCCCTACCCAAGGATAATTACTACTCCAACTTCTATCACCAAGGATTAGTTTTGCCTGTTTATAAAACAAATTATATATGAGGTGTTATGCTGTTCTGATGGCTTCTTTTATTTAATAATATGTTGAGGAGAATCATCATCATTTAGCAGTATTTTATTCACTTTTGATACTGTATAGAATTTGATTGTATGACCAAATCACAATTTATCTATTCTATTGTTAATGAACATTTGAGTAGTTTCCAGCTTGGAACTATTACAACAGTTTGGAACTATTACAACTAGCACTGCTATGAACACTCTATTTCATGACTTTTTTTTGTTAGAATTTCTGGGTGTGTGAGTTATGTGTATGCTTAGTGTTAACAGATGCTGCTAGAGACATTCTTTTCAAAGAGAAACACATGTCCAATGGCGCTCTTTTTGGCTATTAGAGAGTGTTTATTGGTTTTAGTACAAATCAAGCCACTATTCTTAGTTTTCTCATATATAAAACAAGCACATTAACATTTGCTTAGTGGAACTCACAGGGCTACTGTGACAATCAAATGGAAAAATACAATAGTGTGACAATCAAATGAGAAAATAAAAGCCTGTCTCCTCCCAGGCTTTACAAAGCCATGCCCTCAGGGAGAATAGAATGAGAAAACATACAAGGGGAGATCAAATGATATGATGTATTTAAATTAAAATATTATAGTAAAAAACACATTGTCATTAAGTCTCCTCAACATACTCCCCCTTTCTTTAGACAAACTTGTCCCATTATTCTTGTCACTTTCTGAAGCAGCTCTGGAAATCTACTTTTGTGAGTATCTTTACAAGGTGTGACAAAGAATATGGTGAGTGATGCTGCTGACTGCCATCCTATGGAAAGAAACTTTATGATGTGCCCACTTTATTCACTGGGTCTGGCACCCTGTGATTTTTGGCTGTTCTCCAAAGTCAAAATGACCACAAAAGTAAACATTCTGAATCGATTCAGGACATCAAAGCAGCCACAACAGTACAACTAAAGACACTCAGGAAAAGACTTCAGAATTGTTTCTGAAAGTGGCAAGAAAAATGGAACACAAGTGTTCGAAGTGAGAGGGAGTATTTTGAGGCAATGTGTATTCATGGAGATTAATGGCAGTGTGCATTTTACTGTAATTAATGTTTTAAAATCTAAACATTCACGGTATTTTTGGATCACACCTTGTAGTATTCATCAGGGTCACGACACCCATTATTATTTCAGAACTATTTAGTGCTCTTTAAGAATTTGCACAAATATTATTTCACCTATTCTTTCCATCATCCCAGAAAAAAGATGTACTGAACCTCCAAAGGGAAAAGGAAATTGAGAAATTAAATTTCTCACAGAGTTTATGGATAGCAGATGGGTTTTGAAATCAAATCTCCCTAATAGTTTAACAAACTGTTTATACCAGAGAGCAGAAAAAAATTGATTAAATCCTTGCACATTCTTGTTCATAAGGCCATTTTTTATAGATCACGCTTATAATCATGACTTCAAAGAGATTTACAGTTTACAAGTGTTTTCATTATAGCATCTTATTGACTAACAACCCTGTGAGATAAGTAGTATAAATACAATTACTATCTTACTATATAAATAAGAAAAATAATGACAAAGCTCCATGATTTGCCCAAGGGATCTAGTATTCACTCTGTATAAATTCACTGTAATTAAACGATACTGTTTTCTAAGACCAATAGTGGAAAACCAAGTCTACCAAACTAGCAAAATGGTTGTGCAATGTTCTTTTGATTAGAGTAAGACTATCTTTGGACTTTTCCACAAAATGAGGTTATCATATTATTGTCTTTCTTCTGCTGTGATATGAAGCAAGAGAGACTTGGAAGTACAGTAAGGGAAAGCAAATAAATTTACTAATGAGGAAAGCTAGGAGGGTTCAGCAAAGCTATCCCTCTTATTAATTGATTAAGATTTTACAAGTAAGAAGAGCTCAATGATTGGGTGGAATGCATTTGATGAATTCATACAAAAGGTTGGCTGTTTGAAAAAAAAACCCCAAAACTGACAAACTTAGCTAGACTAAACAGGAAAAAGACCAAAAATTACAAATATAAAGAATCTGATTTCACTATAGTCTATACACAGAACATAAAAAATGTTAGCTGGGAGTGGTGGCGCACGCCTGTAATCCCAGCACTCGGGAGGCTGAGGCAGGAGGATCACTGTGAGTTCGAGACCAGCCTGGGATACATAGCGAGTTCCAGGTCAGTCTCAACTATTTCTTTATAGTGAACACAATGCTAAACTTTTCTGAAAAAGGTACCAGAGAGACACTGAAACAGAAAGTGGTTTTCTGATGCTTTGGGCTCTGGCAGGGGCTCTATGGTGTGGGTATAAAGAAATCTAGTAGATCCTTCAGCCTCTAAGCCAGAACTTGTGTCCATATGCAACTCTGCAGACTCAGCCTGGTGATAACTTTTTCACAGCTTTAACACAATAAACCAGAGACCCCTCACAGCCTGCCTGTGGCCACCTATCTGCAACTGCTTCCTTTCAGCCACCTGCCTGGACTCCCCGAGGGGACATTTTCATGATGTGCACATAGCCCATAGCCACTTATGTTCTTCAGTGAGTCACACTGAGCAGTCACTCTTTCTGCAAGCTCTCACTCCTAACTCCCACCTTTTGCGATCCACGTGTTCTGAAGTCTTTTTACTCTCACGGGCACCCAAACTTCCACTGCAAGCTGCTGAAGGTCTGCTTTCTTGCCTAGACTCCAGAAGTTGGCTTATTGTTTGCTCAGGAACTGAAGACCAGGTCCATCCTCACTGAGCCAGCAAACCTCTCCACTATAAGGTGGATAAAACACTTTCTTCAAGGTCTGAACCCCATCCAGGTTTCCCCTTTTCTTTCTTTCTTTCTTTCTTTCTTTCTTTCTTTCTTTCTTTCTTTCTTTCTTTCTTTCTTTCTTTCTTTCTCTTTCTTTCTCTTTCTTTCTCTCTCTCTTATTCTCCTTTAGATACTCTGCCTTAGCTGTAGGGTAGGTACTACACTGTTGTTTCCTCTTATTTTATAGTTTCTATTTTTTAACAGTTCATAATTCTTTATACTAGACATTCCCATTTATCCTACCATTCAGTTTCTATCACCAGATTGAACTCATGCTATTAATACATGTACACATACACATGTGCACACATGCAGAGTACGTATGTGTACAAATACATTCAAATAGTGCTTATTCCAGGAATGCTAAGTTGGTTTAACATTTGAAAATCAATCATTTGGAATGGGAGCAAGATGGTGGCTGAGTAAGAATTTTCAGTGATCGTCTCTCCACAGTCATACTAATTTGAACAGCACCAAGCTACCTTAATAAGAACTAAGGAAGCCAGCTGAGAGATCACAGTGCCAGGTTTTAGTATAATAAGAAGATATGTACTAGAGAAAGCAGGAAAGAAAGAGTGGCCCACTTCACCTCTTCCCCAGTTCCAAGCAGTGCAACATGGAAAGAAGCTTCCCATTTTGAGGAGGGAGAAGGATTTGAGTACAGGCCTTAAGACTTGAATCTCTATGCACCAGGCCCACCATGTTGAAATATAATGCCCTTCAGAGCCCACTGTTTCTAATTTCAGGATACTACCCACAGATTGAGTGGTTGTAAACATGCTGGCCAGGATTTCCAGGGACTGCTTCTACTCCCCCTCCTCTAACATCAAGCAGAAGAAGGGGGACTAAGACTTCATCCAATGAAGAGCAGGACATGGAAGGCAGCACGACTTTGTC